AATAGTAAGTAGTAAGTATTACAGTGTTTCCCGTTTTGTTACATCATTAATGTTATACCGTACGTTTTTATAAGCATCTCTCAAATTCGTTAGGTCCCTGTTACTGAGGTAGTTTAGTATTCCTTGAATATAAGGTAAATCATAATTTCTACTGAAGTAACGGCCGAAAAATGTAACGCCGTCGTCTAACAACTTCTTTCGTACCATACCTCTATTGAAACGACGTTCTATTATGTCTTCGTACGTAGGAAATTCTCTCTGATAATCGCTCCGTTTCAAAACCTGAACAACATCTTCATTTCTCGCGTATAATGCAATTTGGTCTATGCGTTTTGTTAGGATATCATGAAATGTTAGGATAGTATCGTTAATTTTTATGTTTTTCATTCTCATTATCTCTTCAATACATTTTTTCTGAAATTTTAGAGATTGCTCGATCATATCCGTAGTGATATTAAGATTCTCCACATTTCCGTCATTCACGTCCAAGCTAGCAATCTGCATTTTAAGTAGCTGTTGTTCAATATCGGTAAGTTTGTCGTGATTTACAGATCTAAACTTAGAACAGTGTACGTGCAACGCTGTCTTATGGTATTTATTAACAATGTTTACGTTAGAACCGTATTCTATGAGAGTCAGAACGGCTTCATACTGATTGGCGCAGGATGCCAGATGAAGTGCAGTGTCACCATCCTTATTTATGGAATCGATGTCAACGTTCGAATTAAAGAGAATTTCCATGATACGTATTCGACCACATCCAGCAGCAAAATGGAGCGGTGTCTGGCCTTCTACAGTTTGCACGTTGACATCGGCACCATATTCTACGAGGATTTGTACGATATCTTCATGTATGTTCAGAATGGCTTGGTGCAGTGCCTTCTCCCTGTGTCCCTTCTTAGTGGCTAGGAGCAGTGCTGTTTCTTCATACTGGGTTGGAGGATTCACGTTAACTACGCTTACAAGTAGATCCTCACAAATTAGTACTAATTCTCCTCCTATGGCATAATGGAGCGGTGTCCGACCACTCTCAGTTTTCAAATTTACATCGGCACCATATTCTACGAGGATTTGTACGATATCTTTGTGTATCATCTGAACGGCTAGGCGCAGTGCCGTTACACCATATTCGTTTTGAGCATCCACGTCAACTCCGCTTTCGAGTAGCACCTCGCAGTATGCTTCTAGTCCTTTTCTTGTAGCATGATGAAGCGGTGTTTCGCCCCTCGAATTTTGCAAGTTGACATCGGCACCATGTTCTACGAGGATTTGTACGATATCATTGTCTCCCTTGTTAATGGCTAGGCACAGTGCCGTTTCTTCATATTCGTTTTCAGCATCCACGTCAACTCCTCTTTCGAGTAGAAACCTGCAAGTTTCTTTTAGTCGTCCTCGCGCAGCAAAATGAAGCAGTGTGTTGCCCTCTTTAGTTTCTGAGTTTACATCGGCACCCTGATGTACGAGAATTTTCACGATATCTTCGTGTCTCTCCTGAATGGCTAAGCGCAGTGCCGTATCTCCATCTTTGTTTACGATATCTACGTCAGCTCCTCCCTCAATCAGCAACCAGAGAATTTCTTCTACTCCTACACGCGCAGCAAAATGAAGCGGTGTCTCGCGCGATCGATTTTGCAAGTTGACATCGGCACCATGTTCTACGAGGATTTGTACGATATCTTTTTGTCTCATTTGAATGGCTAGGTGCTGTGCCGTTTCTTCATATTCGTTTTCAGCATCCACGTCACCTATTCTTTCGCACATGGAGTTGAAAATTTCGTCTACTCTTGCTCGCGCAGCAAAATGGAGCGGTGTCTCGCCCGTTTGAGTTTGCAAGTTGACATCGGCACCATGTTCTACGAGGATTTCTACTATATCTTTATGGCTCTCCTGAATGGCTAGGTGCAGTGCCGTTTTTCCATCTGGATCTTTAGCATCAATGTTAGCACCTCCTTGGATTAGCAACTTGCAAATTTCTCTTTGTCCTCCTTCCATAGCAGAATGCAGCGGTGTCTCGCCCCTTCGAGTTTGCAAGTTGACATCGGCATCATGTTCTACGAGGTTTCGAACGATATCTTTGTGTCTCTTCTGAATAGCTAGGTGCAGTGCCGTTCTTCCATTTGCATCTGTAGCATTCACGCGAGCACCTCTTTTAATGAGCGTTTTTACAGTTTCTATCTCGCAATTCATGACAGCATAGTGGAGCGGTGTGTATGTAGGATTTTGAGACTCACTGTAAACGTTCGCATCTTTGGTCATAACCTGTTTCTCCATATCGTCCGTCCCGTTGGGTATTATTGTTAATTAAATCACTGTTTGAATCTCGTGTTCAGATCGCGGAGATCATCTCATTAGTCTCTCCAACTCTAGGCAATATTTCTGCTATAGATTGTCGTATATATGTATATAAACATAAGCCTCAGTTTAGTTATTCATTACAATTACTTGCTAATGATAAGACACGATATGTCCCTCCGTTTCTCTCTAGTCTGAATGACCTAAAAGTTCAACTCGTTATTTCTCTCTCTTCCTTTTATATCTTACTACTAATTTTAACAATTTCCTAGTGTTTGTTAAATTACTAGCAATATTGTTTTACTTACTAAATTCTAACGTAGCTGCAGTTATGTAGGTTATGTACTGACGTTCGTTATGGTTCGTTACACGATGGTTACACACATGGACCTAAAGGACGGTGCATAGTCGAGGGGTAGGGCTCCCAAAAACGGAAGGGGAAAACAGCTCTGTTTGAGCCCACAAGTGCTGCTCTCAGTGCGGTCCCGCTTGATTTTGAACATGCTTATTCGTTTTATTTTCCATCAAAGGTAAAAAAAGAAGACTAGACAAAAGGTAATAAAAATAAAAACAGTACTTGGTGGAAATATAAAAGTTTAATCAGTCCTCTTGTAAACACCAAAACACAATTTAATCAATCGCGAATCAGCCCCTCCGCCTTCGGTAGTACATTAACTTAGACCAACTCAGGCATCGCGCGCGTGATGATTCATTGTTCCTCCTTCCTGATGCTGGATCCTCCGCATATACTCCTGTAAGAATTAAAATTGGTCTCAGAATTGTACGTGTAAAGCAGTGAGAGAATAAAGATTGTATTATCGACGTACTTACAGGTGTTGATTCATTATTCCTTCAACCCGGCACTGGATCCTTTGCATATACTCCTGTAAAAATTAAAAACGGTTTTACAATTGTACGTGTAAAGCAATGAGAGAATAAACTACGTCTATTAACCTTTATGTTGTACGTTCACATTTTCATTCTGCATTTCTTTTGGAAACTGTTCGGTACATAATCTTTTCAAAGTAAACCCTTTGGTAAATAACCTAGCGATCATCATTCGATTTCTGCTTCTCTATATGGTCTTTCATTTATTTATATGTTCCTAAAAATATAATGTAATACGTCATGTTATGCATCTCACAATTATTG